CACTTTGCTTGGTTCCAATGAAATGGTGGGGGGATAGAAACAAGAGACGAGACATATTTTTGCAATGTTTGGTACATGTCCACGTCAGAAATTAAAGTTGTGAGTTACACGTGTTTATTTCTTTTGCAAAATTCCAAGAAAATACACACGAAATTCGATAGAAGAGAATGTTATAATTGATTGTGCATGCAATGTCTTTAATTAATCGGAGAGGGATGGTAAATTCTACATTTTATGTATTTTATATATTTGATTAAGAGTTAATCATTTATACACTTATATACTAATAATTAATTATATATTTTAATTATGTTATGTTACTGTAAGTATATTTTTAACAGTGATATGACACAATTAAAAAATATAATTGGTTGTAAATGTAAAAAAATTTTATATTAATAATATATAAGTAATTAATTATTTGATTAAAGAGAAACTATATTTAATTATAGTTTTGATGTAATTGATTAAATATGGGACAACATATTATAATTAATTACTCTAAAGTTTTATTTGAATATAATACTAAAATATGTTGTAATTCATTATAAACATGATCATTATATTACAAATTTTTTTTAGTACATCTCAAATGTAATTGATTATGATTCGTGTCATAATCGATTACAACCAAATAAAAAAATCATACAACTTGATTTAATTAATTGTGTTTTAACTTTAACCAATTATAAAAAAAAGAGTAAATTATAAGTAGTTAATTTTGAAATGGTAATAAAATAGTAGTTTTGATTTTATTATAATTATTTTTCTTCATCCATTCAAATCCTGAGTATTATAATATTATTTCTTATGTATTTGTTTTAAATCAAATAAATATATTTTTATTTTATTTTATACTTATTTCTTTACTGAAGCTATGGGTGTTAATGAGTAACGAATTAATATAATAAGTTTGTACCATTCACGTACACCTGTACGTATTTGTTTCTGTTTCAGCTCTGATTAAGGAGATACTGGTGGGTCCCATCTTCCCGAGATGAGAGGGAGTCTTTTTTGTGTCTACTGTCTTGCTGTGGGTGGATTCACGTTAATGAGTACACCCGTGAGAACGCAGAAGCATCTCATACTTCTATGTCCACTAAATTATGAAGATCAAGAATCACACGAGAATACATGCGTTGACCCTTACAAAACATACATCCAAACGCACACTTAGTTAGACATGTCAAGTATTTTAAACAAACGTATTTCTTAACCTAATTTTATTATATTTCACTCTAATTAATATGAGTTTCTATAAATATTTTATATATAAGTTAATTTTAATTTTTGAAAAAATTATTTTTTCTTTTAAAAATTTTTTCTAAAGAAATTTATCTAAACATCTCTTAAGGTATTTAAAACTTAAGCTTTAAACCTACTAACAATAAATTATTTTTATTAATTTTTGTAAAGAACATGCATTAAAAAAACATATGTTGACAAAAATATTTAATATATATCTTTTTTATTTAAAAAGTTACTTCAAAATTTATGTTAAGTCTCACTTATTGTCTGATGGATACTAATCCCAACTTCTAATAGATGTCTTAAAAAAAAAAAAACCGTGCTGGTTTTTAACGTTGCAGGCATTTAAGTGATTTAACAATATATCATCATTCATGGCTATTAATTAAATATACTAGTAAAAAAAAAAACAGACGAAACTAAAGAAGATTGAATATTTATTAATATTTTTACCAGAAGTTTTGCAATGTAGTCCCTATGTAAATTCTATTCCCTGTGCAATTCCTGGCTAATATATGGATGCATGTGTAAATTTTATTTGACATATTTAGGGAAATTGGAACCCTAGCAGGTACATTTAAAAGATGACTAAAACTCAAAAGAAATATAACTACCGTTTAAAATTAAACTATGGATTTTACATTACTACAATAAATATTTTAATTTTATGTGTACTAAAGTCATACTTTGGAAAAAAAAAATAGAGAAGAAAACTATTCATAGAATACATTTATCATATGATACTTAAAGAGGTATATTGGATTAATATTTTAAAAAATATATATATATATATATATAAATTAATATAATTTTTTTTATTTAATTATGACTTTTTTTAATATAAAAAAATTATTTGATATTTTATTAAGACAATTATATTTTTTTAACAATACATCAAAATTTAGTGATATTCATTTAAGATAATCAAGATTTTTTTTAAGATTACATCAAAATCTGGTAGTATTCAATTAAAAAAAATTTACTTCAAATCTTTTTGATGGTATTCAAAAATAGAGAGGTTTCAATGGATTATTTTAAATGATTGATTTTATGAGATTTTTTAGAATTTACATGCAATTCACTCATCTAACAATCTCACAAAAGCCTTTAAGATTTTGCATGACTTTTTTTCTCATTTATTTCTTATCATTTTTTGCTTGAACACCTTTTTTCTTTTATTTTTTTCTTCTCTCATCTCCTCTTTTCTCTTTGTTTCTCCTATTATAATTAATTAGGTATGAACTTACCACGACATTAGCTAACTTAACCAAATCTCTTATGGGACTAGTCCACTGACTACCTTCCAAATACTATGTCCTTTCGATACCCGGTTAGGAACTAAATTTCCAACTTCATACCTTACTCGATTGGTCACTTGTAATCAATAAGTTCGACTTAGCCCTATATTGTGGTTGTTGCATGTCTCGACCTTTCCCACACACGGTACTAGCACAATCCTATAAGAGAAACAATATAGTATCGACTTTAAGGGTCAACTTGTCAATAAAGGTTTTCAATAAATTGAGCTCTTAGAGTACCGCAATACAATATCCACACAATAAGATATTCAACTTTCAAAAAATCTCTCTTCTAATTTTAAATAGTCAACGCAACTCAACAACAGTACAACTCTTTATAGATTCAACACATTAACGAAATCAACACAATAACGAAATCAACACACAACTTTATATCTTGCAACTCAATCATCACTACTTATATTCAACTCTTTAATCAACATACATCTCAATAATACACAACTACACAATCAACATATAACTTTGTCAACACACATCTTACAACTCATATCTACTTCTCAACTAACAACTCACAACAAAATCATCACATACTACTTCATCTCTACAAATCGTTCATCATATTTTCATTTAACAACTTAAATCAATAAGTAATCAACACTTAAAACTACATCAACATGTTTTTATCAAATAATCAAACCCTAGCGCTACACACCCTACGCCTAGGGCCATCCAAGCATGAAGCTCTTTGCCTCAACCACGCCTAATGCTACATAACTCGTGCTTGATGTGGCTAAGGTAGAGATCCTTAAGACCTCATGCCTAATGTGGTAAACTACCACACCTGACCCCATCTCAGGTAGAGAGTCTCTATTTGACCGCCGCTTAGCGTCACCACATCGACACTTGACAAAATTCAAATAGAGAGCTTTAGCTTAGCCATGTTGGGTGTCACTCAACGTTGGGCCTAACGTCACCAAGTCAAAGGACTCTTAAGTTTCCCATGCTTTGCACCATTCAAACCATGCCCGATGTCATGTCAACCCGAGACAAGTCTCTCTCCTCATGTCCAATGCCACCAATCCTATGCCCGATATGATTGAGTTAAAGAGCCTTAAGTTACAACAACATCCAACAACTTGAAGGCACGCTCGACACAACTTTAGAATTCTACATATGCAAAACTCAATTTTGAGCTACAACCTAAGATCCAACAAAGATTCAACACATGCAACATCAAACAACACTTACATACATCGTAATCAACATATGTCTGCACTTAAAATCAACATGAAACCTTGACCAACTCAAATCACTGCATTCTTCCTCAAGAACACCAAACCCTAACCTTCATCACACAACTAAATTTGATTTAATCAACAACAACTTCAAATTGCAAGGAATTCACACAACATTTAGCACGAAAATCATCCCATATAACCCCAACATACAACAATGTGAACATAGATCCAGCTTCCCTTACCTCAGGTTAGCTCAGATTTGGGGTAGAAAAGAAGAAAGATCGAGTATCCACACAAAATCAACGACTTGATTCAATGTTTCCGCTACCTGAATCACAAATAACACAACTCAAAAAAGGATTGGAAGAACAAGAGAATAAGATTGAAAGAAAAAGAGCTCTTAGATCAAATACCTTATCTCTATAATCCCTTTTCTAGAAAGCTAAGGAAAATGAGTTTATGAGACTTTGTTCAAACAGAAACCTCATATACTCTTCCTTTCGAAGTTGAATGGAATGTTTGCCTATTGAAACTCTCTTAACACCATTGAAACTCCTAAAGGGTTCTCAGACCCCTGAACATCTTAACACTGATTAACAACTCACTCTATGATATAAAATGACCAAGTGTAATATAACACTATCACAACATACAATGTTACAAACCTCACTCAATCAAATCAATGAGTTCATAATCTAAGAACTCATTGAATAACTAAACCTTTTTTTTTTTTTTGCTTTCAATCATCTCCATGCTTTAATTTTTATTGACTTTACAATATATACTAACTGAATTTGTTTGTTATTAAACAACATAATATTAGTGACCTCCCATAGAATCCATTTCACTATAAACCACATCACCCTCCAACTTTCAAATCTAACCCTTTTCCTCTCATTAAACTTACAAATTGTTGAAAATGAGCATTAGCTTGGTTAAGTATCACGTATCAATCACGATTAACATAACTGAGAAAATGATGAACATTTATAAAACAAATGGTTTATCCATTCGTTTTTGCACCCTACACACCATACGTCTTCATTACCTTATATGTTGATATAATATTATACACACCTTATTTTTTACATGATATAAAAATACTAATAAGTGTTGATAAATTAGTGATTAAAGACTTAAAATAAAAAAATGAAAAAGTATTATCAATAAACTTTCATCCTAATTTTTAATACATATCAACTATGATTTATAATAAAAAAAAAAAAAGTATTAATTCATTTCTTATGGCGTGATTTGTTAAGGCGGTAGAGCAAAAGAAAGAAACTCCCCCCTTGCATAAAACCCACACTCTTCCCTTTTCTATTTCTCATTCTGCAATCGCAAACAATGTCATCCCCTTTGCCTTCATGCTTCCGTCCATCTACCACAACCACCTCCAACCTGACCGTGTACCACACCGAAACAGGCCCCGTCTCCATCACGTGGTCCCGCTCCATGGTGGGACGCTCCCTCCACGTTGAGGTTCACCACGATGACTCCTTCGACTCCCTCTCCTTCCACCTTCACATAACACCCTTCCTCTTCTGGAAAAAACACGGCTCCAAGAAACTGGCCCCCAACACCCACCTCTTCTGGAACCTCTCCAAAGCCAAATTCTCCTCTTCCCCAGAGCCCCTCTCCGCCTTCTACGTCGCTCTTGTAGTTCACAACCGCATCACCCTCCTCCTGGGCGACTCCCCCAAAGAGGCCCACTCCAACTCCAAGGCCCACAGGCCCAACACCCCCCAGCTCCTCCTCCTCCAAAAGGAACACGTCTTTGCCGACACCCTCTACTCCACGCGCGCCGCTTTCGCCGGCAAGGCGCGTCTCATCCAGATCGACTGGGACCACTCCCGCCTCTCTTTCATCTTCGACGGGGAGACCGTTTTCCAGATTAAGCGCCTCAAGTGGAAGTTCAGGGGGAACCACCGTGTTCTGGTCGACGGCGTCCACGTCCAAATCTCCTGGGACATTTACAACTGGCTATTCCACAACCACAACCACAACCACAACAACAACGCCCATGCTATCTTCATCTTCAAGTTCCAGCACCACGATGACCAAGATAGCAACTGGAATTTGGGGGCTTCGGAGTGGGCCAAAATGGGAAAGAGTTGCTCCTCTTCTTCCACTGGAAGCTTCTCCTCCGTCTTGGAATGGTCCAGTGTCGAGGAGAACCAACTCCTCGTTCCTGTCGGCTTTTCTCTCCTCGTTTACGCTTGGAAACGCTGAATCCTGAATCAATTCAATTCCTATTCTTCAAGGTTACTCTGTTCGACTTTTGGATCTCCGTATTTCTATACCTTCTAACTCATTAGAATTAGGGTTTAGTTTAGATACATTTCTCACACTAATATTTCCCCACTAACTCATTTGTTTTCGTGGACATACGCTTATTCATAGATTTTAAATAAATTGGATTAGGGTTTATAAGCTAACAGAATGTTAGTGGAATCTCTTTACTAAGGAGAAACTAGTTGGGCTCTGTTCTGAATTGTGATTCTTTTTTTATTTTATTTGCACTTGGTATCTGGTTTTATATCGAACTTCTTGTTGCCATGTAAATTCTTTTTGTAACTCATTGTTTGCAGCTGAATCAAATTGATTCAAGCGTCATGGAAATGAATTGCTTTCGCTTTTTGGACTTTCTGAAACTGAAATCAGTTTGGTTTTGATATGGAAAGTGTATGCCAACTTACCAAGTTGTTCAATTTGGTAACTCAAAAGATGTCCCATTATTTACCTATTTGTCACATTCCATTGAAGAATCAATTTGGTATAACAGATAGACATTTTAATACATTAAAGTTTCCCATCTGGTTGTAGTGGTGGACGGTGGTGTGCATTTCAAGAATTAGAGCAAATGGCATGTGAGGTAGGAGTAGGACCCGTTGTTCTCTTTTTTATTTCCGATGCATTTGCAATTGCAATTGCAATTGCAATTGCTAATGGCAGGTAAGATTTTAGGTGGTAGTAGTAGCCTTTGTGTGACCCGAACAAACCGTCATGGTGGTTGACCTAGTCCACCTAGAATCAATTGTTCAATTCAATCGAGCGGTTAACATTAGTTGACAACTCAACCAAATCCTGTTTTGTTTTTAACTTTTCTCACCAAAAACATTTTAATAAGGAATAATAGTTAATTGCAAATAGGAATCTCGAAGACTCTGTAGATAGGAAACTGCAGAAGAATTGCGGTAGAAGCAGTTGACAGTTGCGTTGGTGTGGACCACGAGTTTGTCCTTTTGGGATGAGGATTCTGTTAGTCTTGTGAACACGAAATAAAAACAAATGCCTGTCTGCCAGCTATTTTATTCAGACAAAAACTTTTTACTTGGTCAATAATGTCTAGTTTTTTTATGAATTTTATTTGGTTACATTACATGGTCTAATAATTACGTGTAATTAAGCGTTAGTAATTGGACAATCAAGTTAGGATGTCCACGAATCTCCCATCCATGGAACCTCCATCCATTTGGATAATTCCTATCAGCACAATTTTGTTAACTTCACAGCATAAGATTGTTCTCTACACTATGTTTGAATAATCAGTATGAAGGAGATCCCACACTAACATTAGTGATATGACTTAATATTTAGTTAAGATAATATCATATTTTCATATTTTAAGATAATATCAAAACTTATTTAAGTTATTGAATCTACTATTATCTACGCATTATTAAATATTTATAAATATTTAGTGCTATAAATCTTGTGCTTGAAATGTTTTGTTTTTAACTAATGATGTAGTGAAGATTACATATTAATTAATAATATGAATAAAATTATGTATATAAGTAAGAAATAATTTTTGTTTTACAAATTAATATTATGGATAAGGAATAACTTGTTTCACAAATTACAGGTTAGTTTTATGAGGGCAAGTTAGACATGCTCCATTCATAAGACTAACAATATCTTTTTACACGATTTTATATTTTCCTCCACGATATTGCTAATAATTATCCTAACACTTTATTTCTTTTGCCTCATCTTTTCACTTTGAAAGCTTTAATTTGTCTTTAAATGTTAATTATCTTTTCTTGATAGAGATCATAAATATCTGTACATTTAAGGCATTTGTATACAACAAAACTCTCCTGTCATATGTATTTAACACATTTATGTAACATGACTCGATTGAAACAACCTCTTATCTGTTTATCTATGTGTTTGGTAGTTTTCAGAATTCAAAATATTTGATATTTTTAAAGATTAAAAGCATTAATTATTTTTTGATAATAATAATAATATCTTATTTATTAGTATCTCACTTAAAAGGTCATTTATTTCATTTTAAAATCTTGATTTATTTCGATATCTCACTTTAGAAAATTAAGAAAATATATATCATTAAGTTTTGATAACTTTTAATTATTATTTCATTTGATGAGTTTGTTTCTCTTGTCTGTGAACCTATTATTAGCAATCTTGCTTAATTATTGTATCTGTAAAATTGAAGAATCTTTAAAGTTTGATATATATTAAGGGAGATTGTCATTTTAAATCAATCTTAATATATCAAAAAGATTAATTGTAATATGAAGAATGCTTGTTGTGCTACCTAGATCTCCTTTTAACTTGAACATTGAAGTCAAAGTGTTTTTACAAATGTCCTCCATTGTTGCATATATCGAAGCAAAGACAATATCATCTATCACTAGAGCACTTGCAAATTCCGATAAAATATTTATTAAATTAAAAATGATTTTTTATTTTTATTTTCTTAACAAAGACATTAATTGAATATTATAACTAAAAGTTATATTTTCAATAACGAGTATGTTGTCATTATAAATTCACCACAAACCCAAATTTATATCAACATTGGTTTTAATGAATACATTGTGCCGCTGTCATGTGCGTTTGCTCATACTTATTATTATTATTTTTTACAAGTTATTATTTTATAATTAATTTTACAAATTTTTAATTTATTATATTAAATTTTATTATTAATGATAATTATTTAATAAAAAAATATATAATAAAAATAATAATGACTAATAAATAATGGTCATTAAAAATATATATATTTATATTAAATTGTATATTACATATAAGTGAATTGATAGCTACAATTTTTGTATACATATAGATAATTCTTCACCATAGTTACATAAAACTCAGATAATGTTGATATTGATGTTTAATCATTCATATGCTTGTTAACAATGTTGCTATCCAAATAAAGTACTTTTGTAAATGTCGAGAGATTGAATTGATACATGTACAATGTCGTTCTTGAAATTAAAAGTGTGAAAACTCTTGTATTCACTTTCATTATATTGTAACCAATACTTCAAATGGCAGATAGTTTGACTCATTATCCTATATATAAAATAGGAAATCTTATCTTGTATGAGAATAATTTCAATAATTTTTTTAAGAGAGAGTTTTTAGTAATTATTTTAATTTAATTTTAATTTATTATATTTATTTATAAATTTAATTTTTAATATTTTAAAATAAATTATCAATAAATAAAAATAATAGTATTACAATATAAATTATTTATCGTGGTCTAAAATATAATTTATATATTTAAAAATAGAGAAAATTGCACCCATCTCTTTTAAGATCTGTTTAAGTTAATTCATATACACGTCTATCTTTTATTTATTAATTATGTACAATGATATGTGTTCTTTATGAAATTTTTAATTGTTCTTCAATTTTAAAATAATGATTTTTCAGTATATTCTTTGATATTGTTTTTTGAAGTTAGTATACTTTTTAAATCATAACACACATGATATTTAAGTTATAATTTGTAAGTTAAAATTGAGTAAGAGATCAAGTTTCATTTAATAGTTGATACATGTATTAATAATTTATTCTCTCTTAACAATATATAAATGATGTTATTTTATATAAAAGGTTATATGTGTCACTTAGATAAATAAATAAAGGAGATTAATTAAAAACTAGAGGAGAAATATGTGTCACTTAAAAAGACTTCAAGAGAGATCAGTGTAATTTTCTCTTAAAAATATCTACTTATTTAAATTTTAAATATAACTTTATATATTTAAATATATTTTTATTTATTTATCATTAATCATAGTAGAACATTTAATTACAAATTTAGATCAAAACTGTTCCCTATCATATATTTTGAAGTTTTTTCAAAATTATTTTTTTAAAATATTTCCCTTAATTATATCTACAAGAACTAATGAATATCTACAACAAGAGAGAATTGTAAGTCTACACATTAAAGAAATAGTTTGGTTAAAAAAGTAGCACAAAATGATCGGAATGATGCATGTATTTAGATGATTAATTAATATTACTATAGCCGCGTAATATTGTGATTGAATTCATAAGTGAAAGAATATCCTATACGCGCGTTCAAAACTTGAATGGTCAACTTGTATTGTTAATATGTGGAAGGAAGTTAAAGAGTAAAAGCTTTTTTATTTTGTTCTTTGCACTTAGATGCTTTTCACTTGGGCAAGAGTTTAGAAGTTAGGAAATAAGCAATGTACCCACATAATATAAAGTCAAAGTAGAGCCATTTCATCTGAGTTTTCAAGCGAATACATAGCCCACAGAACTTGGAATCACTTCTGAAAAGTATACCAACAAACAATCTCCTTTGCTAAATACACAAGCCGACGATTATGACTTCTTTACGTTTCTTTCTTTATTTCCATTTTCATACCTACTTGCGTTACGCCCCACAGAAATTTGTTTTTTAAAAAAAGCTTTAACATAAAAGTACACTATTTAATCATATTTTTTATTCAAAATATTTTATTTATTTATGTTTAATGAATATCCCCAAGCTAAGACGTTCTATTTTATGTATACGTACTTAGTAAATGCGATTAATATGGCTCGTGTGGTTCACGAGTATGACTTGGTATCGATCTAGCATTATTAATGATGCAACATTTACGTACAAAAATCTTTACACGCCCTGGCGGGACTTTTACACATCATTGCTACATTATATTCTACTTCTATCCAATTTGGTATAGAATTCTTTTCTCCAACGAAATTATTATTTTTTCAGTTATGAATGTTATTTTTTTTAACAAAGTTTCTTCTCGATATATAATTAGAAATTGAACTTTAATCTGCATATGTAGAAGACTTAGTTATGAGTTTGTTGTATAAAATTTTGATAATTATTGTATAGTGGGTTTGCTTGAATCCCAACTTTCTCAATTACGAATTTACGATGTTCGCTTCTATGTTTTTGTAGGCAATGAAATACCCCTTACTCATTTTAAGGTCTCCATTTCCTACCCTCTTTACTTGGGGTTTCTAAAACATTAATACCATAACGATAATGATCAAAAACATCAAAGTTTTTTAAAAAAAATTGCTATTTTAAAAAAATATTTATTATATTAAAACACATGTTATTTAATGTTTATGTTTATTTTTGAAAGTAATTGAAAATTTTAATATCACGCATTCATTTTTTTTATTGATATTCTTAAATTACTCTTAACAAGCGTCATTAAATGAAAATGCTATGAAGTTGAAAACTTGAAATATTGCTTTCAATACCTAGTTTGGTTGTATATTTTTGTAACATAGTTGTAGATTAATTGCTTTTGAGACACATAGATAAAATATTTTACCTTTCCCAACAAAGAATTCTTCGTATACATGGCAAATAATTAA